GAGAAGTTCGCCATACTCCTCTCTGTGTTTTCTCGTTGCATGTTGATCAAGGTTTGTTGTGCTACCAGTGTACTTCAGAGGTGCTCTGCATAGCTTACAAATAGCGTGGTTTTTGTCGAGTTTTCCGTCCTTCTTGTAAAACCCGAAAACGTTCCACACTTTAGACTTTTGTCTGGCTGCTGTATTGAAAATCTTTCTCGGTGACCCGCTAACGCTGCTACTATTTACATCCATTCTCGTTGTCTTGGTGAGCTACGGAGCATGCGTGAGAATAGCTTCGCGGGCATTTCCGACTCTCGCGTTGTTTTATAAACGCACTGTCAACCAAGCTAGTCTCGCGATACCCGGTTCATGTCTCTTCAACCGGTTCATCTCAGCATTTGTGGCTGGTTGCTGTCGATTTATACGGCTGCTACCGACACAACCATATCGCTAGCTTGTCAAACCGGATATCTGGTCGTATCGGTTTATCTATAACAACCCTAGTGTAAATTGGTCTTCCAGCTGTTCGTTATATGCTCAATTTCCTTTTTCCAGCCACTTATTGCTACTTTTCCCAACTTTTTTGGGATTTGTCGACGTTGTGAAATTTTGAATCAACATATTTTTCCTTTAAAATGTTACATTTACTCAGATTAAACTTTTGATCTGTCATCTATGTTATATTACGAATAAAATATTGACATTTGCCATCTCCACATCATTGCATTCAGTTTTTATTCACAATTGGTTTAGTGTCCCAACTTTTTTGGAATCCGGTTTGTATTTTAATGTTTCTGTACAGTGCCCTGAAATGAATTCTGTTGTGACTTGGCACTATATAAATAAACTGAATTAAACACAATCATAAAATTAAAAAAAAAAAAAAAAAAAGAAAAAAAAAAAGAATATGAACTGAAAAATAAAAGAAAACTATATATGTGTAAAAAAGGGAAACAAAAACAGCTACATTATAAAGAAATGTAAAATACTAAAAACAGGAACATGTCTGTGTTGGTTTATGCCATGAACTTAGCAGATGTTTGAAGCCATTTAATCACTTGAATATCCACTTTAAAGCTAGGTATAAAACAGTATGTTTTGTGTTAGCAGAATTTAATTCTAACTTTGAAACTTATCCAACATTAATAAAACTTAACTCAAGTTGCCTTTTTGGACATACATGCATATGTTTGTACAAACTGTACTTGAGAGGAGATTAATACAGCCTCATAAAATCAATTATGATTATGATAATTGGAATAGTATCGCTATCGACGTAGGTATCGGGATTGGATCAGAAACAAAAGTGGATTGTGCATCCCTAAAAGGTGTGCATGTAGTTGACTTGGCGAAGCAGTACGACCATAGAACTTCTACGATCTGCACCGTACTGAAGCAGAAGGAGTTGATAAAGGTTATAACACCAGACGAGGGGGTTCAAATAGTTTCTAAAAAGTGGTCATCTATCCATGAAAATATGGAGAAGCTGCTGATTGTGTGGTTGATGGAGAAGCAGCTCGCAGGAGATACCATGACGGAGGCTATATTCTGCAAAATGGCACAAGCTATTTACGTTGATTATCTGCAGCAGACCCCAGGCACTTTGACGGACGAGGTGTCGGGTGAGCCATTTAAAGCCAGTCAGGGCTGGTTTGAGAATTTTAAAGAGAGAAATGGCATTCACTCCATTGTCAGGCATGGTGAGGGAGCAAGCGTGGATATTCATTCAGCCTTTATTTAGACAGGTTAATTCCAATGAGCCTCGGGGACTCATTTAAAAGAGAGACCTGATTTTAACAAAGAGTGATGACAACAATAGACAGTCATAAAAGAGGCATTTTTTTTTTTTTTTTTTTTTTTTTTTACAAATTAAAATAAAATGGCAATCAAAAGGATAGTCAAAAGGAAAAAATAGCAAAAAAAACAACCAAACAAAAACAGCTAGATTATAAGGCAGTGTAGAAAACTAAAAACAGGAACATGTCTGCATTGGTTCTTGCCAGGAACTTAACAGATGTTTAAAGCCACTTAGAGAGGTCAAGGTCCAAAGCTTCAGATTTTTTTGTAAGATATTCCAGGAAACGGGAACGGAGTAGGAGAAGACCCTTTTGCTTAGTTCAGTTCTCACTTAGGGGACACTGCAGGTAATAATGTCCTGAGAGAGCATGCTGTAGCGGTACTCAGGCAGAGACATATAGGAGGAGATGTATGAAGGCAGCAGACCAAGAAGTGATTTAAAGATGAAAATGTACCATTGGGAGAATGTGTGAAGTTAATGATGTCCAGTTAACCAGTGACTACAGTGTGCAATGGTAGTTATAGCCAGTAATGAATCTTAGTGCACCATGATAGGCAGCATCCAGCATCTGCAGGGTGCTTGTAGGAACGTTCATGTAAATAATGTCACCTTAGTCAATGGAGGGAAGGAAAGTCGCAGTTACAAGGTATTCCCTAGCATTCAGAGTTAAACAGGGTCTATTTCTGACAAAGAAACCCAGTTTAACTTTCAGTTTCCTTACTAGGTTTACCATGTGAAGCTTAAAAGAGAGATGCGAGTCGACCAAGATACCCAAATACTTATAGGAATCGATAAACTCAATAGGGATACAATTTGAGGATAAAATCAGAGGAAGAACTGCTGGGACCGACTTCGTGTTTGAAAACAGCATTCCTTTGGTTTTATAGGCATTTAGGACAAGTTTGCGACGGAGCAAGTCTGACTGGATGAAGTCAAAGGTGGATTGCAAAAGCTGTAAAGCCTTAGCAACTGTTTTAGCTCTACAATAAACAACTGTGTCATCAGCATAGAAATGTAAAGATACATCAGGGATGCTCTGACCTACATTACCTATGTAGATTGTAAAGAGGGTGTGTCCTAAGTGGCTCTCACCCCGATAGTCGCTAAATGCTTCGAAAAACTGGTCATGACTCACATAAAAACAACCATCAACATCAACGAGGCCCCTCATCAGTATGCATACCGTGAGAACCAATCAACAGAGGATGCCATCTCCTCTGTGGTCCACACTGCGCTCAACCACCTGAAGCAGAAATACACAGTATGCTCTTTGTGGACTTCACATCTGCCTTCAACACCATGATCCCCCAAACCCTGATGGACAAACTATCCACACTAGGACTAAGCCCCTCCATTTGCAACTGATTACTAGACTTCTTAACAAAAAGACCACAGTTAGTGAGGATCCACAACATCTCCTCCTCCACCATAACCCTCAGCACTGCCTCTCCTCAGGGATGTGTGTTGAACCCCCTCCTGTTTACTCTGCTCACGTATGATTGTGCAGCTACCCATCCAGGCTGTCACATTGTAAAGTTTGCAGATGATACAGTGGTGGTGGGATGAATCACAAACAATGATGAGTCCAGCTACAGGCAAGAGGTGGAACACCTGGAGAGCTGGTGCAAAGAGAATAACCTTCACATCAATGTGAAGAAGACAAAGGAGATGATTGTGGACTTCAGAAGGAACAAAAATATCTACACCCCCCTGAACATAAGAGGATCTGCAGTGGAAGTGGTCTCCAGCTACAAGTATTTGGGTGTACACATGAATGACAACCTCAGCTGGAGCAACAACACCACCAGCCTGATCAAGAAAGCTCATCAGAGACTCTACTTCCTCAGGCGGCTGAGACGAGCTGGTCTGGGAAGCTCAGTCCTCACCTCCTTCTACAGGTGTGCAGTGGAGAGCATCCTGTGCTCCAGCATCAACGTGTGGCATGGAGGCTGCACAGCTGCAGAAAGAAAAGCTTTGCAGAGAGGGTGAAGGCTGCACAGAAGTCTGTTGGAGTCAGCCTCCCCACCATCACAGACATCTACACCTCTAGATGCAGGAAGAGGGCCACCTGCATCATGAAGAACCCCACTCACCCAGCACACACACTTTTTGCCCCACTCCCCTCAGGAAGGGGGTTGAGGAGCATTAAGTGTAGAACCACTAGACTGAGGAACAGCTTCTACCCTGAGGCTGTTAGACTCATGAATCTCTAACTAGAATAATCACTGTGAAAAATCACATCATGTTGCTGCTGATCTGTTTCAATGTTGCTGCTGATCTGTTTCAATGTTGATGTGTTCATGCGTGCACATCCGCTCACAGACTCATGTTCATGTTTGTGCTGATGTTCAATGTTTTTATGTTATGAGTGCTTAGTTTATATTTAGTTGATGTTTTTCTTAGTTCATATCTTAGATGTTATTACTGTTTTTCTTATACATTTGATTGTTGGATGTAACTGGGACCCTGTGTACATAATTTCGCTCTATCACATGTACCACATGAGGTGCGAATGACAATAAAGAAACTCTGACTCTGACTCCTAAGACTGAGCCTTGTGGTACACCATTGTTGACTGTTAAATAACTTGAGAAAGTACCATTATGATGAACACATTGCATCCGATCTGAAAGATGGTTAGACCACCAACCAATGGTGTGATCTGAGAAACCAATTTCTGAGAGCTTATGACAAAAGATGCCATGGTCCACAGTATCAAAAGTGCAGCACAATAATCCTTAGCATCCAGTGCTTCAACAATGTCATTAAAAACCTTCAGTGAAGCAGTTGTTGTGCTGTGCTGTTTCCTGAAACCAGATCGATGGGGAAGTAACATGTTAAATGACATGATTATATGATGATGATAAAGGATATGAAGGCAGCTGCGGATTACCTCAAAACGTTTACCTGATACCCTAGGTAAATGCTTAATAAATATTAGTATTTGCAGTACATTCTATTGTTTTGCATTATTATACATTATTTGATATTTAAATGTATTGTTTACTTACTTATACAGTATACTTAACAAAAATCTGTTCCTGTGTTGTGGAACTGATTAATGGCAGTTCAATTCATTGCAATGGAAAAAATTGATTTAACACGAGAGTAATTTGAGTTATAAGCTCCGTCTTTGAACGAATAAAATTCGTAAGTCGAGGAAGCGGCCACAAGTTACCTGGCTGAGCCACTAATCATGCTCAGTAGGATGTTTTCTTACCGGTGATGTGCTCCTCAGTGGGAAGGACGTTGCACCTCTTGAAGAACTCCTCGGTCTCTGCGTCAACAACTAACAGCTTGGTCTCCGCTCCGCCGGCTTTGATGGCTGCCACCACCTCTGAGTGCTGCATGTCCACCACCGACACGCCGTTCACCTGAGGGCAGGACAGGAGATGCTAGGCTCAGTTTAGTTCCCATGCAAAAGTCTGTGTTTATTGCTGAGTTGTCTAAAACCAATTCAATTCAATTCAGTTTATTTATATAGCGCAAAATCACAACGACGTTGTCTCAGGGCACAGGGGCGGCTGTGGCTGAGTCGTTAGAGCAGTCGTCCTTCAATGCAAGAGTTGGGGGTTCGAATCCACCTGCATTCACATGCCGAAGTGTCCCTGGACAAGACACTGAACCCCTCGTTGCCTCTGATGTGTGTCTCATCAGTGTATGAATATGATAAAGCTCTGATTAGTCTCTTTAGAATTATTTGTTCAATTTGCTTTGTATAGATCTAGTAGAGTGCTGTATGAATGGGTAAATGAGGACACAGATTGTAGTGTGAAGCGCTTTGAGTATCTAAGATAGAAAGGCGCTATATAAGTACAGTCCATTTACCATTTAACAGGAACATTCACATACATAAAAAAGTCAATTAGTAAAGTTCTCTATAGAAGGAAGCCAGCAGACAAGTTGAATCTTGGTCTCCCATCATGAGCAAGTACAATGGCAACAGTGGAAAGGGAAAACCTCCTTTTTAAAAGGAAGAAACCTCCAGCAGAACCAGGCTCAGGACAAGCGGCCATCTGCTTTGACCGGCTGGGTTGAGAGGATGGAAAGTAGAGACAAACGAACACAGAATGGTAGGTCCAGATACTGTATAATGCCCCTTTTCCATTAGTACCTGTAGTACCGGTTACAGTACAGCTCTACTCTACTCAGTACGGTATACGTTGTGTTTCCATTATGCTTTCAGTACCGGTTCTAGTGGGCGGGGTCCAGAATCCAACATGCATTACCAGATGGTGGCTGTAGTGCGCCATTAAGCTATTGTACTAGCCACCACTTAAGTGTTAGAAGAAGACGACCATTAAACAAAATGGAGGGTATCGTGACTTTGTTCAACTTACTTCTCAGTCTGTGGCTTTTTGAACGCCGTTGAAGACAAGAGAGTCAAAAACGGCTTCAGGAAGCGAGGCAAAGAACTCTGGAGAAGTACAGGAGAGTGTGGGAAGCCCTAGAGCGCTACAAAATAGAAGACAGGAGGCGAGCTAAACGACGTGTGTGGGTAAGCTATTTTGCTATAGCATGCAATAACACATGATAAAAGCCGAGCATAAAAGTACATAAATGTCGATAAAAAACAGTTTAGTAATACATATGCCGTGTATGCGTTTCAGATGATTCGCCTGCTAAATAATAATAATCACAGCAGACCTACAGTGTGGGCGCATAACAGAGCTACTCGGTGGTGGGACGTTATTGTACCTGGTTTCACAAACAGTCAGTGGTTGAGGAACTTCAGGATGTCAAAACAATCATTCATCTACCTGTGCAATAAACTACGACCGGCTCTGGAGCGACAACATTCAACTTTCCGCCAATGTGTGTCATTAAAGAAGAGGGTGGCAATTGCACTGTGGAAGCTGGCAACTGGATCAGAGTACAAGAGTGTCGGACATCTTTTTGGCGTCAACATCACTACGGTGTGTAGATGTGTGCAGGAGTTTTGTGCTGCAGCAGAGACATTGTTGGTGCCAGAACAGATCCATTTTCCTGATGAAGAGAAGTTCAGAGAAATGGCCCTTTACATTGAGAACCGGTGGGGGCTCCCACACTGTGTGGGTGCTATTGATGGCAGTTATATTCCCATCATAGCACCACAGCACTATCACACTGATTATTTTAATCGAAAAGGTTGGCATTCCATCATCCTGCAAGCTGTTGTGGATGGAAGGGGACAGTTCTGGAACGTGTTTGCTGGACTGCCAGGGAGCCTGCATGATGCCAGGGTTCTGAGACTGTCCACACTGTGGGAGCTAGCCAGCCGGGGAAACCTATTCCCAGCTCATTTCAGGACCATTGGCACAGCGACCACTGGCTACTACATCCTGGGTGACTCAGCTTATCCATTGCAGGACTGGCTCTTAAAACCATTTTTCTGACACTGGAAGACTAACAGCAGAACAGCAGATGTACAACCAAAAATTTTGTAGTACACGGGTTGTTGTGGAAAATGCTTTTGGTAGGCTGAAGGGAAGATGGCGTTGCCTTCTTAAAAGGAATGACTGTGATATTGAACTTGTGAAGTCCATGGTGCTGACCTGCTGCTCTCTACATAACCTGTGTGAAAGTCATGGAGAGACGTACGAGACCGTATTGGATGAACCTGATGCAGAAGCAGCTGCCCAGCCACCCCGGGTGGCTGTGACACAGGAAGTTGGGGAAGGAAGAGATGATGTCAGAAATGCTCTAATGGAGCATCTCATGATAAATCATTCATCTTCATTTGATTAAGTGTTTAAATTAATCCCTAATTGTACACATTTTTTCTTTACCTGCATGCCTAAACCCATCTTTGTAACATTTAATTGTCACTGTTGATAATAAAAATGTATTACAATATATTGACTTTTGTTATGAACAGATTTGCACTAGAAAAAAGTTCATGTTATTAAAAGTGATAAACAAATCCCAGTGTGTTGTCATCACAGAAACTGCTTTTAAGAGCAGCTGTAGATTTAAAGAACATTATTGTTGAATTTCTCCTTAAATCTAAAGTTTTGTGGTTAAAAAGAACAATCATAAAACAGATGTACTTGCTATATACTAATTAATATATATTTATATACCATTATATCTCTATATATATTACTTTAATAATATACTGTGTATCCAAAAAAGTTCAATCTGGTCCTCTGGACATTCAAAAAATAAAAAATAAAAAAAATATAGAAACGTTTCATCTCTCATCCAAGAGACTTCCTCAGTCTGTTTTTTTTTTTTTTTTTTTTTTGAATGTCCAGAGGACCAGATTGAACTTTTTTGGATTTTTTCTACCTGGATTATTGAGCATGCATCAGGAAATATACTGTATATATTTTACATCTAATTTGTATTATATTTTAATTTATATTACACATAAACTAATTAAAAATAGCATTTTTTTGTCTCACTGTTCATCTTTACAAAACAGGCTGTCATATTTTCACTGGAATGACTGAAGTACAAAATTTTTGTGTGATGACTTCATCCTGGAACAAAAAAAGACTAATAATAGTAGAACAGATTGTAGAAATCTTTTCTTAGGAATCATGAAATCTTAAATGTATAAAAGGGATAAATCTCAAATTTGCCTAACCTTCACTATGAACGTGAAGAAAAATACTGTAAGCTTTTAACATTAAAAAAATTATAATGCAGACACAGGACATAAGAAACAAGTTTTTTATTTGAAAGTAATAAATGTAAAAAAAAAAAAAGGTAACTACTGAAACAAAATTACTAAACTAAAAACTACTAAAAGTACTACTACCTACTGATTATCAATTCAAAACTGTCACACAGGTCTAATGGCACACGCAAGATCTCCCAGCACACCAGGGAAGGCTTGATCGAAGGCTTCGGTCCGAGCAGCCTCCTCCCTTCGCTGAGCTGCTTCTTGTTCCCTAGCCTCACGTGCATCATCGCGAAGAAGACGAAAGTGTCTCTCACGCTGTTCCCGGTCCTCTTTCTCGCCTTCTTTCAACGTCAAAATCAAAGCCTGGTCTTTAGCTGACAATTTACTGCGTCTCTTGCCTAGACAGAAGAAAAGACAGGTGGTTAATCATTAAACACTATTTAGACACTGTTTTTTTGAAGAAATGCTGAAAGGTGCCATTACTGAACAAATGGTCTTTGTTGTTAGCTTTACAAGATAATTTTTTTGTGACTGTACATAATGAAGCAAGCAATGAATTTGGAAAAAAAAAAAAAAAAAAAAAATCTAAATATGTATATATATATATATATATATATATATATATATATATATATATATAT